TTAGGTGAGATTAAAAAATAGATTAATTAGATCATTTAATTTCAGATCATAATAATCTCTCAATTCTTTTAATCTATTGACAACACTAAATGTTGTACATATGATGAACTCACAGCAAAAAAACACGTCCAAATTTGTTCTTCTTGCGAGTAAAAAAAAGAGAAAAAGAACTATAAAATTCCACCAAATGTCATAGAAAATTAAATATGAAAAAAAAAAATAGACTCAAGACACTGATGTCAAAATGTGACTTTTAAAGATATCTTCCTCATAAAGAAAACTGTCCCCTTTACACTTATTCTCACTGCCACTGGTAGATTTCCTGGGAACCAAAACCGTCTTTCAATTTCACATTCCAGTGCACAGTGTTGAAATGTAAACAAAAATTTGTGGAGGCAGTAAATGAAATGGAGCTGACTGTGTGGAGAATACCCTTCAGCCTCATTCACTTCAGTATAAAACACAGTCCCTCTGTAAGTATGACAGTCCTCGTACTCCAATGAATGCAGTGGATGAGACGCTTAATTACTTTGAGAGCAACGTCTTCCATCAACGGTCAATTTGGACCAGGCTTTCTGATGCACATCGATGTAATCAGCTGGAGCGCTAACATGTTTTTGGATTCTCATATCGCAGGTCAAGACTGGCTGACTTCTTCGTCAACTGCCAGCCAGAGCCTCGCTCGCTGTCAGGCTGCCTGAAGGAGAACTATGCAGACTGTCTCCTAGCCTACTCAGGATTGATTGGTGAGCTCACATGTAATGTCTATTAACACTAGACTAAAATGTGTAGACTGGTGTTGATTTCAAGGCAATGTTGATTGTGGTCACATTAGGTTAGGCATAGGCAAACTAAGTTCAGCTCTTAAATATGGCCCGCAAAACTTTTCCAAATTATATAAATTATTTATGTTATCATTATACTTCGGCCCTTTCCTTTCAATACCCACGTTTGAAAAAGCATTTTAGCGTTTTAGTTCACACGAACGTTCCATATAGTGATTCTCAATTATTTTATTATTTCATGCTCCCCCTATGGGATAGATATTTTTTCACACCTCTCCCACCTCCCGAATTGAAATACTATTGAGAACCTAATAACATGTATATTTTTATCCGTACAAACCACTGTATGAGTTGCTGCCACCTAGTGACTGTAGGCTTATTATCATTCAAGCATTACAGCAGTGGTACCCTTATGTCCATATGCGTATCCATATTCCATTTGAAGCCCCCTCACGCCCCCTCTGGCACCTCACCCGAAGTCCCCTCTGACACCTCACCACGGCCCCTCATGGGGCCCCGCCCCACTATTTGAGAATTACTGGTCTAACTACCTTGAAGTTAAAGTTCGTACAGTCGACACTTTTTGTTACCTTAGCGTCATAACATTGCAACATCAGGCTTTATGTATGTCCCTATATAAAAAGCAGACCACACAGTGAGACATGTCAGTTGATTCTTCCTACTGCAAAACAAAAAGCCCTGTTTTGGAATGCAGCCAGCATAACAGAGTAATTCACAGAGGGAGTGAGAAATCACTGACTGAAGCTATTTACTTTCCCTTGCAGAGAAAAAGCCTATTCTTCACTTTGGTTTCTCTGCATTCTGGGTCCTGCAGAACCTCTAACAACATTACATTACTCCGTAGTAAGGGGGCAGCGACAAAGAAATGAATGGACTCAAGAATTAACCTTGTTATAATACAGATAACAAATGAAAGATGACAACTCTCAACTGAAGGTGTTCAATACAGCTAGTGTTGTCCATTAATTAATACAAGAGTGTTGTATTAAAATCCCTGTATAAAGTCAGAGTGATAATATTTGGTTGTTTATTTGATATCTGAGTCAACAAAGCCTACATTTCTTTGGTCAGTTAGTGTTACCTTTACACCTTTTTAAGCCTAAGAAGCAGAGGTGGGACCAAGTCCTTGCTTTGCAAGTCATAAGTAAGTATCAAGTCTTTGCACTTAAGTCCGAGTCAAGTCTCAAGTCAAGACAGGCAAAGTCCAGAGTCGAGTCCAAGTCAAGACTAAAAAGTGTCAAGTCAAGTCCCAAGTCCTTACGTTTCTGTTTCGAGTCCTTTTAAACAAAATAACTAATATATTTACACAGATCACTTTGGGTTTTGGAGAAAGTATCAAGTCTTGTCGAGTCAAAGGGCTCAAGTCCAAGTGAAGTCACGGGTCATTGATGTTAAAGTCCAAGTCGAGTTGCAAGTCTCTTTACATTTTGTCAAGTCGAGTCTAAAGTCATCAAATTGATGACTCGAGTCTGACTCGAGTCCAAGTCATGTGATGCGAGTCCACACCTCTGCTAAGAAGATAAAATTAGCATTAGCCAAGATTAGCATCCACGGACCACAACTTATATTTCATGCCTAAACAAAAAGCACATGAATGACATGCTTAATTTCTCACCACTGCAGGTACGGTGATGACTCCCAACTACCTGCGTTCCCCTAAAATCAGCGTGTCTCCGTACTGTGACTGCAACAACAGTGGCAACAACAAGGATGAGTGTGACAAGTTCACCGAGATTTTCACCGAGAACGCGTGTCTCCGTGAGTTGTCCATTCTCCTACTTCAACAATCTGTCCTTTTTTCTGGATGCATCTGTTTATCTTTGTCATTATGTTGTTTTGTTTTTTTCAAATATATCCAACTTTGCTCTGCAGGATGCTCTCTCCTCTATTGTTCTTGTTACACAGAGCTTCCTTCACAACAAATATATCCCATTGCTATGCTGGCATTGCTATCCCTGTTCATCATAAAGCAAACAGTCACAGTGCACTGCAGTCTATGAGAAATTGTGCCCACAGGAAGAAGCAGAACCCCTGCTCCAGATCTTTGGCAAGATGCAACTTTTCTATCCAACCTTGTTTAAAACGAAATGCACACTTTGTCTCTGCCCGTTCTACACACACACACAAATGGTCTTGTATTTCCAACCAAGATTAATAAGTTGTTGGGCATTCAACACAAATGGTCTTACTGTATTTCCCACCAAGATTAATAAGTTGTTGGGCATTCTTTGCGAAGAGATAAGACAACACACATTTAGTTTTGCTTCGGTTTTGATTGGAAACTCAAGGTTACTCTGCTGCACACGGCAAACCTAAGGTGGAAGATGATTCTTCATTGTTTCCCGCATGGCTGTCACAATGCAGGGGTCTTAGAGCACTTTAGTTCAAGGGCACATAAGATTCTCATACGATGCGTACTCTGTGTACGATTGGCTAATTGAGCATGCCGTTCTGTTCCTCATGCTGATTGGCTCGTGCGTTGTAGCATCTCTCAGCATCTCTATGACAAAATGTATTCGACGAAATGTATACATATAACTTTGGCATTCTTGTGATGCGTACGTGTAAGAAAGAGTTTCTCTGTCAAGGTAATATTTGTGAGGAATCAAAGTAGGTTAAAGTGGGTTAAAACAACATTTCACTCTCTATTTCTTTTATTTGTTTTGATTCACTGGAGGGAGTTGACTGAACGGAGAATCTCATCCTCTGACATGTCATGATTTTTTTTTTTAACTCACTTCACCCTCTCAGTATCACTCCTCTTTTCGCCACTACAGTCTCCACACTTTAGCTTGTTCTTCCTCCTGGTCATGCGTCAACTCGTCCATCTATTTGTCTGCCTCCCCCCCATGCCCTTCCAGTTTCTGCTCTCATTAAGCTTGCTCAGCAGTAACTGGAACTGACAACTCTGAAGATTTAGTGACATGCTGGCTACAGGGTCATGACTAGAAAGAAAATACCAAAGATGAAGAGGAGGGCAGAGAAATGAAGGAGGGATGTGACAATTATCTCATGACACATATTTAAATATAATCGCTTCCAGCATTTGTCTCGGTGAAAGGTTGGTTTATTATTTTTAGAGTTGATATTGTAGAAGGGCAAATGCTGGTGTGAAAGTGTTGTGAATTTTAACTTTGCCAAGGTTATTGCAAAAAAATGCCACACCAGAATATTTAATATTAAATATATATATATATATATATTCTGAAACATAATCTGGTAATCATGCAATACTTTTCACATCCCTAAACATCTCTGTGATTTCTAGAATTGGTACCAACTTTAATTTTGTCGATGAAGAGTTTGAAGAAAAACACTCATCAAAGTATCTTTTTCACAGACGACGACTAAATAAAAAGTCCACTAGGATGACGAGGACTATGAGGAAATCTAATGAAACCTTTGGTAAAGGAATTGAAAGGACACAAAAACATTAGGGAGGAATGTATAGAGAAAGGATCCTTTCAGAACTAATCACATTGCAGGGGCTAGGTTAATCGGCAAATGAATTGTTTAAAGACTGGCTTCACTCGTTAGCAGCAATCTAAAATCTGGTCACACTTCACATATGGTAACAAATACAACAAGACCCTGTAAATCGTGGGGAGCAAAAATCACAGGGAAAACCACCACTCGACGACTTGTTTTAATTAATAACGGAGGAATATTTCATTTCGTGTGCAATGACATTACAGCCAATTGAACAATCTAAATGTAATATCGTTATTAAGCAGAATAATGGACATCTTCAATGACTGGAAAATTCTGGAGATACATTTAGTTGAAAAGGTATACTGTAGATTTAGCAGAGTGAAACGCCTATGATATTTAGTCAACTAATACTAGACTATGAATAAAAGATTTCAGATGATATGAATAAAACAAAATATGACTAAAACTAAATAGTTTTATTCTGATGACTAGATTAGACTTTTTGCGTTTGCGTACCATAGTTTCTGGCATTCTATTACATATATTACACATATACTATAGAAAAAAACCAAAGTCAATTACAAAGACATTACCGAAAACAACCACAAGCCTTAAGAAGTGTGACCATTTTGAAAAGTACCCACTGAAGGTACAAAATAGTTTTGCAAAGTTTTACAAAAAAAAAAAAAAGGAAATTGTCTCAAACCAATGTGATCTAATTGGTTTATTAAATAAACTGTCTCAAAAGGGTTTGTTTTGTAATCTGTTCAAAGACGCAGAATGATCCAGAGATGAACTCAAAAGTAATTGGTTTCGGTAATAGCCAAGCTACAGAACACTCTCAGCCTCAGTTAGATCCCCATTGTTCCCCACAGGAACAGCAGTTGCTTAGAAATTAGAAAGAAAACAAAGAACTATCAAACCAGAAGCAAAGATAAAAGAACTCCAGATACTTGGGAGAATCATCACATACTGCAGTCAGAGCATTACATTATCATTTAACACGGATGCAATGTGTTTTAAACCATAAAAAAAAAAAAAAAAATCGTGTTTTAAACCATAAAAAAAATAAATCAAAAATGTCTTTACAGAATGCCAGTTGCATAAGGCTGCCCCTCTACAAAGCCTACAATTTCCTGTTCAGAAGAAAGGACCAAATAACAGCTCATGCCTGCAGGATATTGTGTGAGGCTTATGCTAAAGAGTATCTTATATCTGAAGTACATTGTACATACAATCAGTTCTTTTCTATTTCAAGCACCGGCAATATTCCAAAGTATTAGTTTTGTGAATTACTGTTCCCTACTCCGATTACATGCTCTGTACTAATATCCTTGAGTCTAACATACAACGCTTTAGATTAAATGTTTCCAGGCATTTGTTACTGGAGCAGTACCTCTGAAGAATTCAGTAGGTATTTCATCTTCAACTGCTGTACTCATACCAAACTGTATTGTTTGATTACATTACAATACATTTGGCAGTATCTTTTATCCAAAATGACTTCCAGTTGCTCATTGATTGTTAACCTGACATTTAATTAAAATAATAACCCCTCCTATCTGAAAAGGAAGGGAGAAGAAAACAGACAGATGGACAGAAGTAAACAACATTGGCTCATTACAAGAGTCGAGTGTGTTTGTTCAACATGGAGACAAGTTAATTAAAATGGCCCAGAATGAGGCATTTTTTCTTTTGTGAATGTTCGTTTTTACAAGGGGTCAGTTCTAGTAATCCAGATGAAGCGACAAGAGATTTATTGTAGCATTTATTAAATGTGCAGCTGAACTAATTCAAAGATGGTTTCTAGGTCAGAAGGCCTCTTCTCAGCGACACATTGCTACTGTAATTTCCGGACTATAAGCCTTTTCACATGCTTTGAACCCTCAGCTTAAACAATGATGCGGCTAATTTATGGATTTTTACAGGCTAACGAAGTTACTACCGCTAGCGATCAATGACTTTTCTGGTAGGCTACTGTGTGTTATACTAGTAGCGCAAAGTAGTAGTGAAAGTTGAGAGCAGTTTGAGCCCTGTCATGTTGTAGTGTGAGTTGGTTATACAGGAGATGTTAAAACTCTGTTCTGTTGTGGTTGAAGTGGCTGATAATAAAGACCCCAACTTCCCTGTTTCTGTTTACCTCTACTGCGGACAAGCACAAAGTGAAGGGAGTTAGCCCCCGAGCTAATGTTAGCTTCAGCCCTGGAGCAGATCACTGAGGCTCCCCTGTGCATTCCAACTACGGTCGGGGCGCCGAAGCAGAAAACAGCTAACGTGTAACCAGCCGTGTTACAGGCACTGTTTAGAAAAAAAAACATTTAGGTTATTTAATTAAAAAAATTTAAAAAAGGTGGGTGCAGCTTATATTGAGGTGCGCTCAATAGCCAGGAAATTACCGTATATATATGCGCAGTAAAAACTGTTTTGTTTACTTGTTGGAATTCAGGGAACATTTATTTAATTAATTTTTTTTAAAAAGGTGGGTGCGGCTTATATTGAGGTGCGCTCAATAGTCCGGAAATTACGGTATATATATGCGCAGTAAAAGCAGTTTTGTTTACTTGTTGGAATTCAGGGAAAATGTCCCATGTGAGTACTTGTGCCTGCTTCTAGAATGAGGTTAGCAAGAGTTTAGGAATGTTGGCATTGGCATGTTGGCAAGACGTCGGGGAGACGCGGGGCATATCACTGATGGCAAAGAATAAACTGCAGGTACTTATTCTTGTTAGATGTACTTGTGCAGGAGCGGTTTGCTTTGCTCTGTAATGCAGCTTTATGGATTGTAGATGCCATAATGCAGAGGTTCACACTTAAGTCAGCATATTCACAAACTGCAGTGGAACAAGATTAAGGCAGAGATACAATGTTCCTCACAATTTCTCAAAAAGGCCTCACATATCACACAATTGTACAAGCATCAGTGCTTTTTAAGGATAATATCTGTGAATCTATGATGGAGCTGTAAGATAATAAAAGGTTTGTAACCTTGGAATACATTTTTAGACATTAGACTGGATGTCAGGTCCGAGTAAGACGTGTAATATGTAAAAAAAAAAAAAAAAAAAAAAATCACTTCTTTGTGGATAATTTGTCCAGAAGTCATGACAGCAGTGAATCTGTGTTTTGTAATCTCACGCTTTTATTTCAGTTCCACTTCACTGCGGTCATGTCGACAAAAAAGTATTGTGCACTTGGTGAAATTGAATAGCTCAGATATGAAAGAGCTGAACGTGCCTTTAATTCCACAAATGTGTTTTGTTCTGTTTAAAACACAGAGCTCTCAAATTCCCTGAAATAGCTCAACGGGAGGAATATAACGAAATGAAAGTTTCAGAATTAAAGATTTATGGTTTTTTTTAGGCATTTTAAGAAGCATATTATTTGTATAAGTAGATATTTTAAAATGCCTGATAGCATGTTTATTTTGATCTGTACAAACCACTGTATGTGTTGCTGCCACCTAGTGACTGGAGGCTTGTTATCATTCAAGCATTACAGCAGTGGTACACTTATGTCCAATGCGCCATATTCCATTGGAAGCCCCTCACGCCCCCACCTGGCACCTTAGCGCCCCCTGATGGTGGCCCGTCCTACTATATGAGTAGTACTTGTTTAGACAATAGAGCATATTCCAACAACTCCCATACGGTGGACATTTAGTGGGGTTAAAGAACAATTATGCAAACCAGCCCTCTACTTCATCATGGTCATAATTCACTATAGGAAGGAGATGATCATTAGGTTCACAAAGCCTTTCTGTTAAACTCAGCTTTCCTTTGATGTGGGTGTGTGTGTGTGTGCATGTATCTGTCTGCACCTGTGTGTCTCTCACATTAAAGACATAGAAGGCTATTAATAGGCTGGCTAATGCGCCCTGATGGTAAACAGCCACATCAGCACTTCGGTTTTTTGACTATGTGGTGAATTTATAATGGAGGGAAGTGATAACAAACCTTAAGTACCTTCTAACTCACCTTTAATTGTGGTTTAGGCAGCTGTAATATAAAGGTTTATTTTAACATGGGGACTAACAAGTGTGTGATTCATGGTGCCATCTAGTTCAGTGCTAAAGGGACCGGCCTCGGAATTACAATGCGGCATTTCTTGTGTGTCAACCCCACCCCCCTCCCCACCCAGAAACAGCAGTGTCATGCGTTATGTGATGAGAAGTTCTGAATGACTGGGATATGAGTTCATTCAACGCTTAATATTTTGAAAGTGTTCTGTGTTCACACCCCTTTGAGACGTAACTGAAAGTCAATTATTCCAGTGCAATATTCTCCCCTAAACTGTTGAAGGCAAACAGATTGCAGTTGGATATGGAATGAGGTAATGTCTCTCATCTGAGAACGTATTAAATACAGCATTCTGGGCCTATAGCAGCGTGGCTAATGTGTAAGCTCATCTTCACCTAAGTCAATCATACCTATATATCTTGCTATCAATATCTTTTCTATCAATATGATGAACAATTTGATTTGCCCGTTTTCAACGGTTTCTTATTTTTTTCTTTTTCATCATAGTTGTTACATTTTGTAATGTTGGCAAGCAGGCAGGACCCAAATGCAGCATTAGAGAGAGGAGTAGATCAGGTGCAGAAAGATTATTCAACACTCAAAATAACAGAAACCTTCTGGATAAAGGACCAGGCAGGAACAAAGTATGAACTACAATCAACCATGACACCACAAAGACTGAGTGAGGGAGAGAGGTACATACCCAGGGCAGCAAGCGACACGAGTCAGACTACTGACTTAGACACAGGTGAGTGTGATCACACTGATTAAACAGCAGACACAAGCAGGGGGGAAGGGAGACAGACAGACAGACAGACCTCACAGAAGTACTGCCATCAGAAGATTTTGTCATATGTGTAATGAAAACCAGCACAAATGAATGAAAGTGAACGTAGCACAGTCCAGTATAAGGTGTACAACTGGCAAAGACAGTGCTGTTGTCTGTGTATAGAGCAGAAATGTTAGAAATTTTCACACCATCCCTTCCCTCCGACTCGCACCCACCACTGTATGAGTTGCTGCCACCTAGTGACTGGAGGCTTGTTATCATTCAAACATTAAAGCAGTGGTACACTTATGTCCACCCCACCGCGCCACCCCATGGGGGCCCACCCCACTATTGAGAAGTACTGGTATAGCATCACAGGCAACATATTTGTTTGCGCCACTCATTAACTAGTTCCTGTGCAGATTTGTTTTAATCGTACGTCATGATGATGGTACAAGACTTTTTTTGATACATTTATGGAAGATAAGAGATTGGGCGTAAACCTAGGACTTGCTGTACTCATGTTTCCTCCCCATGGTCCAAAATAAAGCTGGATTATTTAAATTCAAAATACATAGTGTTACTGTATAGTACTGGAGGGTTGGACTTGTTAACAGAGAACCCATTGGGAAGGTGCCAATGCCTTTGCTCAACCAGGTGAAACCAATCAAAGCTCAACAGGATGATTTTATGGAAATTGGAGGTTCCCAAAGTGGGGGGCGCAATGTTGTTGCAGGGAGGGTGTAGATGGAAAAAATGAAGGTAAAGTAACGCAACATAGTGTCCAATGCCCTAAACAAGACATTGATTGAAGGTAAAAAAAAACACATTGGTTAAAGGTAGTGTAGAATGAATATTTATTAATAATATTGTTAAGGAGCCTGTTATTTTTAATTCTCGCTCTTGTTCGATCTGCTCGGAATGTTTGATCCGTGGAATGCTAACCCTAACCCTAACCCCACGCCTCCCCGCACACAAAATCTCACTCCTGTCAACTAACCACAATTGGCAATGCTAGCATAAAACGGACAAGTTTAAGGTAAATAAAAAGAGTTACATTTAAATATTGTCAAACGTGTGTCCTTTTTTTCAGTTTTTTGGATTTTTGGATGGGGCACGGACATTTTCTTATGAACCAAAGTTGGGCCCAGCAGAGAAAGCTTAGGAACCACTGGGTTTAATGCAGAGGAAACATTGAGATACGTGTATGTGTCTTTACATATGCTATGTCTGTGTCAACTCGTCTGCTGCCTGTTACAGACGCTCCTGACATTTTTATTCCATTTACCTTTGTTATTTTTACATTGTTTACTGCCACTTTGTGTTTAGCAAAAGTTCCGGTAGCTATTTTCACTGCGACACTGCAACTTCATTTCTGATTCGGAATCCCTGCAATCCTAATGTTCTTTCCAAGTAATATAAGTGAATAAATGTGGTCTCCCCCTTCTTTTGTTTGTAGGTAATGCCATTCAGGCCTTTGGAAATGGGACAGATGTGGGAGTATGGCAGCCGGTGTCCCCTGTTCAGACAACAACCTCCACCTCAACTCACAAACAGAGGAACCCTGTGCGCATCCCCAACACGATCGACAACCACATCAACACAGACACTGGTATCTACCACTTCTGTGGCAGCCTACAGGTTAGTTTTCCACACACTTTTAACACAGTACAACTGTTCTGGGAGACTGGCACCATGAAAGATGAATCACTTTTTTTTTTTATTCTTTTCTGCATACCTCCTATCAATAATAAAGATTTAAAGATGATTGCTGCCGTTTTACTGTTACTTTTTTTTCTCTCGGTTTTTCCATCCCTAACTGCTTTTCCTTTTTCCATCTCATCTTCTGTCTCTCTTTACTTTGAGCTGGAGCTAATTTCTTTACTTTGTAACAGCTGTCAAGCTAATGCAGTAAATCAAATAGACAAATAAAGTGATTGTTTTCTTTAGCGGGAACATGTCAGTTAAAAAAAAAAACACAGACATGCTAGAGTGAACAGGAGCGCTGTGAAGCAAATGAAATATTTAGCAGCTTTAAGAGACAGATATTTCCCCTGACTGAAGAAGGACTCTGGAATTTGTGTCCTGTGTTATCCCTCCAAACTATGCTTCTTACTGCGTGAAAAAAACTGGTCCTCGCGTTCCGAAGACCGCGTCGTTAAATGATTCTATTGTTAAACGAAATCCCCGTTGACCGACACACTTGCCATTTCTTTGAATTTGTTTTCAGCCTCAACGATGGTTGAGATTATCGCGTGTGAGAAGCCATAACTGTTAGCGATCGTTTAGACCTTCTTACCTCCATCATACTCCTTAATTATTTTCATTTTTATGTCTAGATCGATGGCTTTCCTTTGCTTCGTTAATAGCGGAATCAGCAGGAGAAGTTGTAGTCTTACGTTTTTCCAGACATCATGAGGGGATGAAATTGTTCTATGTTGTAATTACTTTGCAAATTGAAGAGAACACTTAGTCTGAAACTGTTTGGCAGCGCAAGAGACTTTTGACTGAGTGGCTGCCTGTGGTGCTAAATCCCAAATGCGCGTTCACATACTTACTCACTCACAACTAGGTTGCCAGCGCATTCCATTCTTTGTAACAGCGATTATTTTTTGCTAAACACATGCTTTTAAATTTTGGAAATCCTATTGTAACTCCGAGTTGTCGTGAAACTAATACACGCAATCCTTTCTGAGTCACTAGATGCGGGCATAAATCCCAGCAGTCGAGTCTGAGACGGTGATACATCGTGGACATTTTGCTAATGTATTTCAGGGTCGTGTATAGAAACAAACAAACAAATACACGCAACCTATGGTCAATTAAGAATGTCAAATTAACCTGATCGGTCTCTCTTTGTACTGTGGGAAATGCACGCACGGAGAACACCCAAACTCCACACAAAAAGACCGGCTAGGGCAAAGGTGCTAGTCACTTCTGCCACTATGTGGTCTGCAAAAATTTGTCTTTGAGCAATTTTCAATTTTACTTCATACACTGCAGGCAATTGTCGCTCAACTAAAAATAATTTGTAATAGAATGCTGTCAAAGAAAAACTAATTTAAAAAAAAAATTACAGCCTAACCCAAATAATAGATAGTTTTATTTTTACCCATATAATTTTGATAGTTACCGACAAGTTTTTCAATTTGTGTCCAACCAAGAACAAACACAAAATGTGTAATCTATGTCAAATGCAAACGTAAAGGTTTTTTTAGAGAGTCAAATATCTTGTCTTTCATAAATATTTATATTTTAGTACAGCTTAGGTTACATCAGTGCTTTTTTGTCATGCCCCCCTTAGGGACAAAAATGTTTTCACGCCCCTCTGGAAGTAGAAATACTATTGAGAACCTGATAACATGTATATTTTTTTAGCTGTACAAACCACTGCATGAGTTCCTGCCACCGAGCGATTGGAGGCTTCACCAGACCTGGCCTAAACATGTGCCAGAAGCACTACGCTTGGTAAAACTCTGAACCTGTTTTTTTGAGCGGTAAACAGCTGCTCCTGTACCGAGCAAATAACAGTTACGTGACTGATGATGAAACAGAGGTGGTGATCACAGTAATCCGTGCTCATCCGCTCCTGTTCACTCCTTAAAAACCCACAAACGTGGTGCATCATGCAAGCGTCATGAAATCACCGAACATAGACACAAATTCAATGAAAAGAAAAGGCTTAGCGATTTCAGAGCACTTCATAATTGCTGCTTTGGGCAAACAGATGCCGCAATTTTCTTGAATTTTCTGTTAGGTTTACGGAAGCCCACTCAATCACAGTTATTAGAAACTAACAGGATGTTGGTAACCCCGTCCGACTTTAAGTGCTTTCAGAAACACACTTTAGTCTGGACTTTGTCCAGAGTGGCTCGCTGCAAGAATCGCAAATGTCTGCAAACATTGCCAAAATAGATATCCTCTGGAAAATTCTAGCAAGCTTTCCGGTATTATATGAATAAACGTGTGCAAGAATTTGCGCCCGATTAAATGAATGGGTTAATGTTTCCTGCATCTTGTATTCCTAAGAAAAATGTTTGGACCCAATACATTGATATTGAATCCTTGCCAAATACTGGCCCGTTAGCTGATCTAAGGCACGGATTTCTCCTAACTCCTGTAGTTCAGTGTCAGCCCTGTCAGAGCTTTAGACTATAAGTTGTGTCTGAAACAGAAGAAAAAAAGTATCTGAAGTGAAATTTAAGGGTGCAATTACTCTCACTTTGTCATTTAATGTAGACCTTTATGACAGTATGCTAATTAATGCAGCTTCAAGTAAGGTTCGGGTCAAGTGGTAAAGTCATTGCTAATTAGGGTCTGGACTTGAAGGAAAATACAAACAGTGGGAGCATACTTAAAGTTTATACGTTTTATGAGATAAAAATTGTCAAAGACCTAAAAGTGCTAATTGGTTCATTTATTTATTTATTTCTCTGCAATGTTTTCGGTATAAACAGAGTCACGGATTTTGAATTCCAAAGGGACATTTTTACCGTGGGCACCATATGTACTGCATTGTCAGGTCTTTACAATACTGTAAAGAAGTGTAGGGATACTCAAGTGCATACGTACTACAATACTTAGGCATCTGTCTCATTCACTGTCATTCCTTAATTACCCTTTGGGATCATTAAAGTATCTATCTATCTATCTATCTATCTATCTATCTATCTATCTATCTATCTATCTATCTATCTCTCTATCTATCTATCTATCTATCTATCTATCTCTCTATCTATCTATCTATCTATCTCTCTATATATATCTCTCTCTCTCTCTCTATCTATCTATCTATCTATCTATCTATCTATCTCTCTATATATCTCTCTATCTCTCATCTATCATCTATCATCTATATCTATATATATATATATATCATATACTGCACTGATTACATAACCATTGGTTGCAAAGTGACCTAAAGTATCTCAGAAATCCTGTAAATAAACACACACCCACAGCCTAGACACACATACTACACTGAATGGACAACAGCTTGACAGAAAAGATAAGAATTATAAAACAGGTAAAAAAAAAACTGCTGGAAGATGTAACCAAGTGAAATCTGCTCAGCTCCCACTGAAATGTCTTTTCTCAAAAAAAAAAAAAAAGACAGAAACATGTGTTCCTATCACTCTCCATCAGTCTGCTCAAACAGTGTAGCTTATTTCTTTTGGATTCCACAGAATTTACACAAATACGCAGGTATTCACAACAGGTCACCCAGCTGTCTAGTTTCTCCGTTCGACTTGGAGGAGCATCGTGAGCTAAAGCTGTGACAGCAGCACTGTTTGGACTTGTTCTTCCTTTTTTTTGTTGTTGTTTAAACTTAGTCAAGCCTTTGGCTCGTCTTCCTGTTCAAGGCAGGTCTCTTACTGTAATAAATGTAGAAGTGCCATTTAGGAGAAAAGCAAAAGAACACTCGTGAGCTTAGTTATAATGACAGCTCTGCTCTGTCACAGTTTTTCTTTTTAGATCCTGATTTACATATAGACACGAGCGAAATATCATGAGGTCAAGACAAAGTAGTTTTTTTTGCACAGTTACTAAAATTCCATCATTCCCTTGAAAATGGTCCAAAATTTACAGAAGTGTGTTTTCTTTTTTAAATTTAACTTAGGTAAGGTTTTACTTTAAGTTTTACACTAGCCCAGGCATGGGCAAACTTTTTGACTCACGGGCCACAATTGTCCTAAAATTGAACAGGGGGGCCGGGTCAGTACCAGATAGATGGAGCAGTTCTATGCTCCATTTATCCGATAAATGACATCGATAAGTGACACCGATAAATGACATGTAAAAGTCATGCATGAATGCTAAAATGCTTTTATCATATTCTACACCATCTGTTGGGGAAAAAGCAGAAGTATAATGATTTAAAAACCCACAAACGTGGTGCACCACGTTGATGCACCACGTTTGGACAATATCGGCACATTGCAATTATATATTTATACAATAGGTGGCGTAGAAAATGCATGACTTTTACATGTCATGTACTGTATCTTTGTTCACACCAACACTCCATCTATCTGCTCCTGACCCTGTTCAATTTTAGGACAATTGTGGCCCGCAAGTCAAAAAGTTTGTCCACGCCTGATATTGATACATACATATATATATATATGCATATGTGTGTGTGTGTGTGTACGTATATGTATATCTTTCTTTTCATTGTGGAAATCTAAGTTATTCAGAAATGTTCTTTCTTGTCCCAATGTTATTTTCGAAAAAGTCACATTAGCATGTAGTTGATTTCCATATTTGTCCAGGTCACTGCCTGCCTAAGTCTGCAGTCAACACTATTCATGAGAAACATTCTGATTAAGTGTAGGAGTTTGTTGTTCAATTCTTTATTTATAAAAATAACAACGTTTTTTTTATTCCGCATTTTATCTATTCGAACACTTCT